AAGAATTCTAAAAACTTCTTAAGTCTGAAGTTGATCAGACCTGCAATCAAGATGTACTAATAGTTACTGGTGACTGGAATGCAAAGATGAAAACAAAGAAGAAGGATCAGTATTTGGGATATATACCTTGGGGATAGAACTGATGCTGGAGATCTCATGATAGAACTTTGCAAGAACAATGACTTCTTCATTTCAAATACCATTTTTAAGCAACATAAAAGATGAGTATACACATGGTCCTCTGTATATGGAATACACAGAAATCAAGTTGACTACATATGTGGAAAGAGACTGTAGAAAAGCTCCATATCACCAGCCAAGACAAGGCCAGGGGCAGATTGTGGAAGAAATCATAAATTGCTGATATACAAGTTCAGTCTGAAGCTAAAGAAATTAAAACAAATCTAAGAGAGCCAAAATATAACATTGAATAAACCCCACCTAAATTTAGAGATCATCTCAAGAACAGATTTAATGCATTAGACACGTAAGACTGAAGACAAGAAGAATTGTGGAATGACATCAAGAACATAACACAGGAAAAAGCAAAAGGTCATTGAAAAGACAAGAAAGAAGGAAAACACCAAATTGGATGTCAGCTCTCCTATGTAGATATGCTAAAGCAAATGGAAGAAGTGAGGAGGTACAAGAACTGAACAGGAAATTTCAAAGGTCAGCTCAAAAAGACAGTCAAATATTACAATGAAGTGTGCAAAGATCTGGAGTTAGAAAACCAAAGATCTGGAGTTAGAAAACCAAAAGGGAAGAACATGCTTCAACCTGAGGGAATTCAAGAAAAACTTCAAACCTCGATTTGAAGTATTGAAGGATTCTATGGGCAAAATACTGAATTATACAGAAAGTATCAAAAGAAGATGGAAGGAATACATAGAGTCACTGTACCAAAAAGAAATGGTCAATATGCATCCATTCCAAGAGGTAGCATATGATTAAGAGCCAATGATCCTGAAAGAAGTCCCAAGGAGCACTGAAGTCATTGGCAAAGAATAAGTCACCAGAAATTGATGGAATACAAATTATAATCTTTCAATAAAGTGATGTGGTATTGGAGGCATTTACTCATCTATTACAAGAATTTTGGAAGACAACTACCTGTCCAATTGACTGGAAGAGATCTGTATTTGTATCCATTCCACATAGAGGTGACCCAATGGAATGCAGAAATCATCAGACAGTAAAATTAATTTCCCATGCGAGTAAAATTTTGCTAAAGATAATGCAACCATACATTGACATAACTTTCAGAGTTTCAAGCCAGACTTAGAAGAGGACATGGAATGAGGGATATCGTTACTGACATCAGATAGATCTTGGCTGAAAGCAGAGAATACCACTAAAATGATTTCCTGTGCCAACATTGTGAAATATGAATATTCCAGAACACTTAATTGTGCTCATGAGAAACCTTTATATAAACCAAGAGGCAGTTGTTTGAACAAAATGAGGGAGCATCAAATGGTTTAAAACTAGAAAAGGTGTGCACCAGGGTTGTATTCTTTCATCATACTTATTCAATCTTTATGTTCAGCATATAATCCAAGAAGCTGGATTATATGGAGAAAAATGTGGCATCATGATTGTAAGACTCATTAACGACCTGCAATATGCAGTTGATACAGCCTTGCTTGTTTAAAGTGAAGAGGACTTAAAATATTTACTGATGATGATCCAAGACCATAGCCTTTGGTATGGGCTACATCTCAATGTAAAGAAAACAAAATCCTCATTATTTAACCAAAAAAAAAAAAAAATCTATAAAAAAGAAAAAAAAAAAAAAAAAATCTATATAAAGCCTAAGATTTATGAAGTCGTCAAAGACTTTATTTTGCTTGGATAAATTATCAACTCTCATGGATGCAGCAGTCAGATATTAAACGATGTATTGTATTGAGCAAATGCTCTACAAGTCCTCTTTGAAGTGTTGATGATCAAAGATGTCAGTTTGAGAACTAAGGTGTGCCTGACCCAAGCTATGGTATATGCAATAATGTCATAAGCATGTGCAAGTTGAACTGTGAATAAGGAAGGCCATAGAAGATGAATGCATTTGAGTCATGGTGTTGGAGGAGAATATTGAAAGTACTATCAACTTCCAAAAGAACAAACAGATCTGTGTTGGAAGAAGTGCAGCCAGAGTACCCCTTGGAAGCCAGGATGGCCAGACTTCATCTCTCATACTTCGTACACATTGTCAGGAAGGACCAGTCACTGGAGAAGAATATCATGTTTGGTAAAATGGAGGACTAGAAAAAAAGAGGAAGACCCCCAGCAAGATGGATTGGCACAGTTGCAGCATCAGTGGTCTCAAATGTAGCAATGATTATGAGGTTTGCCCAAAATCAGGCAGTGTTTCATTCTGTTGTGCATAGGATTGCAATTAGTTGGTATTGACATGATGGCACCTAACAATAACAACAACAACAACAATGAGTAGACATTAACTCAATGGCAGTAGATTTGGTTTGGAGCATATGTTCATAAAATGTCCTGGAGTCTACCCTTCCACAACATCTCTAAACTCCCACTTCAATATTTTGAATGTCTTCTGAATATTTGCAGAGTCATGTCAGCTTCTATGATTTTCTCCCTACTTGTGACACATAATCTTATCCCAGCATTCTTCCCAGAAGTGGACAC